CAATCAAGTCAATAGTGGCAAATGGTGAGCTTCGGCAAATCCATTGCAATGAAGCTCATCCAAAGCATTGCCTTCATCATCACTTGTTGGGCTTGCAATGTTGCACCACATACATTCCTCTATTTGTTACTACTTATACTTGAAAACACACCCTTGTCAGAGTAAATGAATGAGTTTTGAGATGTATCATTCATAATGAAAAGCAAAGACTTTTGAGTCGATATGAATATTGAGTGAGCAGTGAGATTTCATTCGCTCTGTGATGACATACTGGAAATGATGATTTGAAAACCCAGTTGTCATGCATGATTAATACTAAATCTATTCACGTGAATCAAGTACAAACTTTATGAACTAACTCAAGGATTAAATCAACATTAGTGGGGATGATGTTAGAGACAGTATGGGTTTTGGATCAAGTGGTAGCTCACATTATCATGACCTGTCAATAACAATTTCTAAAAAGGATTTGTTTTGTGATTGGTGCAGACTTCTTGATATATTAATGCAGGTTGATATTGTTCATTCATGTAGAAGAAGACACTAAACCATAACCTAAAATTAAGAAAATCACATCCTTTAAATACAATTAAGAGAAATGAAAACAAAAAGAAATAATTAGGCTCGCTCTGCTTCTTTTGCACTCACTGACTGTGGCCTGGTCTGCAGTGTAAGAGATGGGACATAAAATAATCACCAGATTAGTGCGTGCTGTAGAAATAATAAGTCATGGCTGCAGTTTGTTCCTCATTATTTTCAAACAGCACATGACTGAAGTAGTCAGTGTTTAGCTGGAGCTAACCTACATAAAGAGACACAGACGGAAACTGTGTATGTCATTGCGAGTATAAATGGATTCAGCCCTGCATAGCTCAGCGCCAACCCCCTTTCAGATCCCACCAGGTGATTGCCATTGACAGGCTGTAGCAGCAATTCACAACATGACCAACCTTATACAGTCAAGCTCTTAAAACATCCAAGACCTGTGCAGTTTGCTATTTTGGAGTTAGTCTGTTGTGTGGCTGGTATGTACTTTGGAAAGTCTCCAATCTGTGTACAATGCCAATTGTTACTTGGACCCATCAGATGACCTTCAGTGCAGCTGTAGCATTTGCTGTACAGTGCTTTAAAAGCCTGCATAAAAGCAGGGTTATACAATTAAAGCGGTAGTGCAATTCAAATGTGTTACTAAAACAATATTACTGTTATTTGTCAAGAGAAAAATCAATGGCTGAAAGACACAAAAACAGGAAGGTAAAATCATTAATAAAGTGTCCAAAGTGTCACTGCCATGCAGTTCGATTCAGAAGCAATATATCTCACCCTGCTGTATGTGCTGTAATGGTGGTCAAGTGTGAAATCCAGTTAGGGAAGATACAGAGAACCCTATTTTCAGAAGGAAGAGGTGGATGATGAAAAGGAGAAACACTCTGAAATCGACCAGGTTGCCCTCCTGACAAGAAAATGTTACAACAAGAAGGTTAAATCATTCAGCCAATACTTGACAAATCTGAATGTTAAATATGAACTTTGATTCGTCTACAATGCTTGAATCATTCATGTGAAAATGATGGTAATTATTTATTGCCACATCTATTTGAGCATGTGCAGTTTTATGAGGGCCAACTACTGGTTTTAGCTTTGTTGTAACTGTATGTTTGTAAAATGAGATTCTCATGAGTCTTTAATTAGACCTACTTTATATTATATATGAAAAAATTATATATATCAACTGTTTATTTAAATAAAGAAATACTTCTAAGTTCAGTTTCGTTCATTAGAATTGATCAGCTGTCACAATATGTATGATTATGTATGACTAACTTCAGCAGTTACCAATTAAAAATGTATATATCTATATATATGTATGATATCTTGGAATATTTTTAGAGACAGAAAATGTCAAAGTACACATATAAACCACAGAAAAATGATATATATTTACATACATGATTAAAAAGTTTGAGTTATGGGTTTTCTAAAACATATGGGCTTGTTTCCTGCTATTTAATGGTAATTCTGACCTAAACCAACCATTTATAGCATCAGAAAACTTTAATTTCTTAGGGGTAATTGTTATCTTATGTTTCCGCTTGTATTAAAAGATCTGTCAATCAATCAACTTGAAAGCAGTAGCACCTTCCACTCTTGGGGCAACCCATTTATTTACATTTAGACTGCTTTAAACTGCAGTATTAAGTAGATTCAGTGCTCTATAACTGCATTAACAGACAGAAACTCCCCTATGGCTCTGGAGCTGTGGCGACACTCTGATCATTTACCAGCACTTAGGATAAAATGTGTTCAAGCCAATGCTAATACAAATAAAGTGGTTATTACACCAGCTGGATTCCTGGTAGATGTGACGTGTTCATTATCAGATCCACAAGGCACTCAGTGAAGTGCGAGAGCATGTAATTATACAGTCCCCTGTCCAACTAGGACCTTATGTGGGATCCAGAAGTAGTGAAAGTGCCAGTCTGTATAGGCTTCAATCCAACATAGACTCTGTTGCCATGTTGTTTGGCAGAAATTCTTATTTAGTAAGGATCATATAAACACTGTTCTCACAGCAGGATTTCCTTTAAAACATTTTTTGTAACAAATGTTTTAGCCTTAATAAACAACATTTATGCTTTTCCTGTTTGTGTGTGAGTTAGTGTGAGTATGTGTGTCACAAAGAGACAACATACAATTTCCTGAAGTTCATTCACTCAGTTTTGGTTCCATTCTTTCACAATCGATTAAACACCTCTAACATCAAACGTGTATCCTTTGTGTTCGCGAGTGGAGCAGTTCATACATCAAAGATTGCACTCTGATGGGTAATTAGGAAGAAATATCATTTATTCAGGGGCAGGATGTCAGTCTTTAGGCCTAAGTTATAAGTTGTCAACATCTGTGCTGTCAAACACCAAAAGGGGAGCCAGCAGCTGAGCCACAGCGCCCTCCTTTGGTCATAGGGTAACTAGCTGGGACTGATCACTATACTAATAACACTAAAAAAAATTTTTGAATCCCCAATTTAACATATTTGTCTTCTTTTGTTTTCCTAATCTCACATTTTTCATCCTAGATTTTCCTTTTTCTTTTTTTTTTTTTTACCATAGTTAACACAAGTTTACACTCAGAAACAATGGATTCATTTGGACATTTGAATGCTGAGTCCCCACCACTTCCAAGGTAACCTTGTATAAGCACATTAGATGGAACATCACAGTCATTTGATTAAAACCCTATTCTCATTGTTCCCTGTGTTATTATCTCCCACTATCTACCCTGTCCCCTTTACTGTACTACTCTCTTGCTTTCACGAGTCAATAAGAAGTAAAGATTTATTGAATTACATTGTGTTGATCCTCATTGGGGACATTCATCTTCTGAATTTGACTCAGCAGAGCAGTAGGCAGTCTTTCTATTGCACACAGTGACCACTACACACTAGAACGGCCTTGCTGCGAGGCGACAGTACTAACCGCCCAGTTACTGTTGACAAGCGCTCGTTTATCCTGAAATTGCATGCTGGGTTGTGATCTCTGCACAGTGCAGAGGCAGCATTAAAGTGACCCCTCTTTTCGCAGCCGTTCTTCACTGCCTCCACCCCACTGCTGCTGTTTGTTATTGATCAGTTAAATGACCTACCCTGTCCGCATCATATTTGTTTATCAGCCAGAGTCACATGTCCCTTTTGGTTTCATTAGTCGCACTGGGCTGTTACATGTAATGATTCTGGTGGTGATGTATGTTAATGACATGATATATAGTGTCTAACCCTTATAACCCATATAAATGTGAAATCTGTGTTCAGTTTTAGCAGAAACCTTTTTTAATTTAATAATTAATTCTTTATTGTACTAAAGGCATCGACACACCTAGTCACATCTAACATAATGTTATTTTAATGTTTGATATTTGATTTTTTTTTTGTTTTTTTTTATTTGATATTTAAGCAGTGCAATACATAACATGAAAAACAAAAACGGAATAAAAAGAGCAGTCCGTTATTCAAAGGTCATTCTTGACCTTGGAAACAGTAGCTGACAAAAACACTCCCCATTTAGAGGCTGCTGTGAAGTTTTCAATTTGATTTTCACAGTGAGACCTTTAAAGCTTGAAAGCACCGGAACAACAACTGAACGGACCTTGTGGTGAGAGTGTTTTGTCAAGTGGTGATTTCTAGATGAACCTTCAGTCTGAAGATGAGAATAGAGCTCAGAAAGATATTTTAGAAATTAGAACATCTACAGCTAGACAAGGTTTTTGTGATATGATTGAAAGCTCTAGAACAGCTGCTAAATGGACCTTGTGGTTAGACTGTTTTGTCATTTAGCATTCTGGTAGATATGGGTGTGCAAGCTCTTTTTCTGGTCTGGATATTGACAGTACACATTCCCCCAGCCCCCCTTTTTGTTTGGGATTTTTTTTCTACCACCACTGTCTTGTTGCAAAACACTTTGGTTACTTAGGAATTTGTTGACACTCTGGACATTGTTGACTGTCAAACACATTTTGTACTTTATGTGTGTGTGTGTGTGTGTGTGTGTGTGTGCTGCTGCTGCATGGTTTTGTGTTTTCTCATTTGGGTCAACTGTAACAACAATTTGTTAGTCTTCTGCAGTGAATCTTGTGTAAAGTTCTTACTGAACATCCTTTGCAAGCAACCTTGTTTGGGTTTTATAAGGTTGACAATAACAAAATGGGACATTTAATGACTGAATGTATACTTCACAAGATGGCAAATATTTCTGGCTTTCAAATCCCGTGTGGGGAAAAAACTACTACTGGCATTTGTGTCTATTCCAGGTCACAGGACAATATGACAGAGACCTATTGAAGAAGAAGAAGAAGAGACCTCCAAGCATTCACCCCCCATGCGTCCAAGCATGAGCACGTCCACCCTTGTCATTCCTGAGCTGGTACACACTTGTGTCCCGTAACGATAGTGGTAAACTAAAGAAGACAAAAAACGAAAAGGGAAAGAATGCTAGGGATCCGCAAAAATGGTGAACTTAGGGAAACCGAAAACGAACGACGAGTGCCCCCTCTCTCAACGCGCGGGCCGTTGCATACTGCGCCTCCAACCGGTGATTCCGTCTGGGGATGAAAGAGAACCCTACTCTATCGAACAAGCCGAGCGTAGCAGCGGAGGAGAGAAGTGGAGCAGCACGGGCACGGGAGGACCGGTGAAGGAGGGAGAAGATAAGCCCAGAGGACGAGAAATCTGCCATATCTAATGAATGTGATGGCTTTCGGCTAAACACACTCCCTTCTCTCTTCAGCAGATATCACGATCTAGAGAGTGCAGCGCGTGTTCGTCGCGCACGCTGCTTCTCTTTTATTCGTGCTCTTGTGTTTTTACTCTCAATAGCGCTCTCGATGATGCAACACAGCCATCTACGAAGAAGATCGAATCGATGTTCCATCTGCACTCACTAGCGGGCGCTTTGGAATTAGACCTGATCCCACTACACATCCTCCAACGGTTCCTAATCTCTGTCACTACCCACCACTCTTCAGACTGCGAACATACACACGTCATCATTGCATTAAACCCTATTCTCCCACGCCGCCCTAATCCCCCTGCTTGCTTCACTGTATCTCCACATTACCCCTGCGTCCCGTTTAGCTGTACTGCAGACTCCTCCTTGCTCTTCACGAGCTAAGTAAGGCAAGTAACAGATTTACTCTGCAACGTTCCACAATTCCTGTGGTCCCTGATGCTCGATTGGGCGACACGTTCCTCTCCCTCTGACATTGACTCCAGCAGAAGCAGGTAAGGGCCAGCCTCTCTTCCTATTGCACACAGCCTCGACCCAGCTACGCGCCGCTGGAGGAGCGGGAGCGCCCCTTGCGCGAGGACGCGACACGGTACCTGAGAACCGCGCCATGTACTGTTGCACAAGCGCTGCGTTTTATCCTGCAAATTGCATGCTGGGTCTGTATCTCCTGCCACAGTGGCAGAGGCACATTAAGTGACGACCTCTTTTCGCAGCCGTCCTCTCTGCACCTGCCTCTCCACCCACTGCTGCGTTACTTGATCAGCAATGACCTACCACCCTGTCCGGCATTCATACTTCGTTTCGATCACAGAGCGTGCACCACCCTGTCCCTTTTGGTTTCATTAGCGTCGCACTGGGCCGGTTACATGCTCAGACTGATTCTCGGTGGTGACTCGCTATATGTTGAAGGTGACGCATGATATATAGGCTTGCTCACCCTGTATACCCCACGACGCTGGGGCCAAGCTGGATAAAGACCTCAGATCGACTCTGGTTGTGCAGTTGTTAGCAGAAAACCTTTTTTAAATTTGAATAGTGTACCATCTTTATTGTCACTCCACAGCATTCCGACACACCTAGCCTTCACTCTAACATAATGGTTACTTGCTTAATCGTTTGAATATTTGAGATTCTTCTCTCTTCTCTGTTCTCTCTCTCCCTCTCTCACTCTTGATATTTAAAGCAGCTGCAACCTCACACATCCACCGCGCAACAAGAACGGAACTAGAAACACGACCGCCCGCTCCCTATCCTCAACAGGTCATTCCTGTGACTTGAACCACAGGTAGCTGCAATAACACTCCACTCTTCGTACCGCAGGCTGCTGGAAAGTTTTCAATTTCCAGTTTCACCAGTGAGACTCTCTAACCAGCTTGAAGAGCACGGCCACAAACACACTGCCAACGGACCTCTCTCCGTGACGAGCGTTGTTTGTCCAAGTGTGCACTTTCTACCCAGCACCTGCAACCCTTCACGTCTGAAGAATGCACAATGACGACTCACGACAGATAATCTCCGTTCACAAATTACGAACACTCTACAGCTAGCACACCAGAGCTTGTTTTGTGACGCTATGACGGTCTGAACAGCCCTAGGACACCACGCTCTAAATGGGACTTGTGTCAACTGTCTTCCTGTCATTTAGCAGTGTCTTGGAGACTACCGCGCCTCGTCCAGCTCCTCTGTGCTCTTCTCGGTCCTGCGAGCGACTACCTACATACGACGTTCCCCGCGCAGCGCCCCGCCTGTGCTTCATTTGCGCGATTCTTTTCCAACTCCCCACACCCGCAGCTGCTCTCTTCGTTCTGCAAAACACTTTGCCGCGCTTCACTAGGAATTTGTTGACACTCCTGCGGCCCACTCTGCGCGGTTTGACTCGTCAACACACAGCCCGGGCTTCGTGTGCCTCCACTCCTTATGCTGTGTGTCGTGGTGTGTGTCGTGTGTGTGGTGTGCTGTGTGCTGCTGCCTGCATGGTTCTTGTGTTTCTCATCTTGGGTCCAACTGTAACACCACCATTTGGTTACGCCTCTCTGCCAGTGAGTTCGTGTAGCCAAGTTCTCTAGAGACCTGACATCCTCGTTGCAAGCACACCTTCCGCCTTCTGGGTTTTATAAGGTCTGACAACCGAACACAGAATGAGGGACAGTGTCTTAACGCTGACTCGAACCTTACCCTCAACTCCGTCGCGAACAGATGGGCGAATATTTCTGCTTTCAAAATCCCGTGTGGGAAAGAACTACTACTGGCCATTTGCTGTCTATTCCAGGTCACAGGAACAATATGACAGAGACCTATTTGAAGAAAAGAAGAAGAAGAGTATACTCTTAGTTGATCCCTAGGGGGGATAATTGTTTCTTTTCACTCTTTTGTTTATACACACAGGCCTGAAATCGCAGCACTTCATGCACCTGTGGACATGCAAAGGGGGAGAGATGGTGGAGTGATGGGCTGCTTGCCGTTACCAGCGCCCTATGAGCAGGTTAGATTGCCTTGCTCCAAGGGACCTGTCGGCAGGTGCACAGGAGGTGAAACATGGCACCTCTCCCGCTACCAGCGCCGGAGGTCCCACAGACCCCACTGCTGTATGATGATAATAATAATAACTGCAAAAGCAACCAATTTTTTCCGTAAAATGTAAAACTTTTTATTAGTTTTTCTTCTGATCTTAATCAATCCAATATGTAGAAAAGTACTGATAATAATGTCTATGATGTCTGACCATAAAGCTTTGTAATAATATTTTATATATATATATATATACAAAGTTAAGGTAATGGGCTGTTCATGAACATATTCATTTTGTTTGCCAAAAACTCATTCACAGACAACGAAATGTGTCGTCATCCATAGTGACACTACATGTTTGAGGTCAATTTTACCCCAGAGAATAACTCCTTATTAAATTAGATAACTGTTTAAGGCCCAAAGAGGTGAAACGTATGTATTTTCACAAAAACAGGCAGAGTGACTGAAACTGCAGTTTGTTTTCTCATTCATGTCGGTGAATAAAGGATTTACTGAAACCAAAGCATAGTTGGTGATTGTTTGTTTTGGTGAGTTTTATGTTGTTTCTGTCCCATGTGAATGAGGTTACAATGTTACAGTGATCCAACTTGACTATGCCAGATTGTTTGTTACACTGAACCACCTGGGAAATTGAGTTTGGGAAAGGGCAGGCACTCTCAAAAAAAGAATGCTTGGCAGGTGATTGAATGAACCATCTGTTGAACCATCTGCCAATCAGATCAACAAACTATATAACAGATATTACTCTTCAAAACATTCTCTGTCTGTAGCGATCCTTTCCATAATGTTGTCAGATACTTAGAATCTAAGCCTATCAGTTGCAAAAGCAAGTACTTTTAGTAGAAGTACTTTGATGGGCATGATTGATGCCCATGATTTGTCCCTGAGGATTATGTTTCTCTGGCCTGTTTCCGAATAATATTTATAACTCGGCGAATTATGGGTTTATCCAGCATTGCCGATTCTTGGAACAGTGAAAAGGATTAAAGTCATTTGTGAGTTTTACTTTGTTTCTGTTGAGTTCAAAGTGTGTTTTACGATTTTCTGCGATTTTAAAATTGCTGGTCTTGTCAATGGAGTCTGGTGAGACATGGCACTCTTTTTTTATAGTTTTTTTGGTCTGAGATGCTAGTGCTCTAATGTGACATAGAGTGGCAGTGAATTTTGTATTTACCTTTAAGTAAAGGCTCTGAATACTTCTTCTAATTGAGTGCAGCATAAAAAGCACTGTTAGCATCAATCAAGATATAGAGTATGTAGAAATCAATGTGTCACAGCTGAGGTCTCTGAGCCCCCAAAAAGAAGTGCTGTGTCATTTTCTATAGCAGATTCCTGTTCAAAGTCTGTTTATAATCAATTCTCCTAAAAATTACATAAGGTTGTGAAAAGTATCAAGTCAATAAGACTGTAAGAATGTGTTGTTTGAGCTGCTAAAGACATCAAGAAGCCTGCAGAACCTAAAACAGTTCAAATTAATAATTCCCATTTAAAAGGAAAGGTGTCCTGATTCTGAAGGCTTTATTCCTGCTGCTCTAAGGCCAGCGGTCAGTGTGATGTCCTCTTGAGACCAACTCAAGTGGGAAGATGTCCAACTGTTTGAATATAAAGCCTTTTCTCAAATGAGAACACAGAAACATGCTCTTGATGAATTCCACAGCTTATGATTACACTTTTTTGGTGGAAAATAGTGACAATACAATGCTAAAATGGCACTGTGCATAACCAGTGCTGCTTATTCTAGAACCTATTATTCTCCTGCAGCTGAGGGCACAATACAGTTTTTGAATGTTTGGTCTCAGTAGTGAACAAGCACTTAATTGTGGCATTATGAGTGAAATGTTCCATCTATTAAACCATGCAGGTCCACAGCTATGATAGCGGAATAATTGTGTAATTCAGCAATCACCTCACTCTACGGCTCTGCTGGTTGTAAAACCACACACAGTGAGCAGCAAACAAATCACACTGAAAACATCTTTGGTGTAAAAGCTTTCACCGTTGACACGCAGTGATGGACTGCTGTTGTGGACTGAGACAACATATGCATTATCCAACAGAGAGAATAATGTTTCAGCAGCAGAGTAATCTACTGCCATATGTTACTGCCACACAGAGAGAAAAGGTTTGGCACAAAAGCAGCTCCACTTAAGTGTCATTCATGCTCATGTGGAACAGTATCATCACATGACAGCAAATCAATTTTTAACTTGCAATGCAATTATATTATATAGTATGAACATTGAAATAGATGTGGCCCTTATACTGTACACTTGGAGTGCACTTTAACCCCCCCTCTACAGCATTCATACGCAGCAACACACTGGAATATGACACATATAAGTGACTCGTCAACAACTCCTCTTGTAGAGACCCACATCGAGGCTTGTGCAAACAGCTAATGAGTGAAAATCAAGTAAAACACACCTGTAATGATCATACGAGAAGTTATAATTGTTAGCAGATATTGTATATTAATAAAATACTTACATCTGCTTACAACTTCATTATAGTGTGTTAAAACATTTATTAAATGTTTATATACTGCTTGGTCCTCCTCAGTGGATGGAGATTGTTGAGGAAGCTCCTTGAAAAATCCTGATACATTTATAATTAAGATTGTTTGTCAAACTGAGACAGTTTGTTCTGCAGTGATTTCTCAATGATTCAGTCAGTGATTTGTTCTGAATTACCAACGGCTGGTGTTTGGTTTGTCCATTCTGGGNNGGTTCAACATGGCAGCCTCCATGCAAGTGGATCTGCTCCCTCTGTAGATAAAAATGGCTCATTCTAAAGTAATAAAAAACACAACAGTTCTTATTTTTATATATATAGGTATATATATCTATATACATATATATTAATAGTAGTTCTTATATGTATAATTACAGACATGGCAAACTTGTCTTCATGCTGTATCTCTTCTGTCTGTGCTGAAGTGAAAAGCAATAAAACATTTCAAAAAGGCAATTCAGTCTGTTATTTTTAAGTGTGTTTTTGATGTCAGTCTGTTGCTGTATTGCTTTGCTCAGTAAATCAGAAATAGAAGCAAAAATGGAACCATAATGAGATGTTGTTTTTACTCATAGGAAACATTCACTAAAAAGCAGCTCCTGCTTCACAAGCAATCTGTATGTTAGGAAACATAGATAGGTTTGTACAGTAATCTTTTTCCACTTCTCTTTTTTCCTTCTTTTTTTAAACACTGTGCATTCATTTTTCCAAGGTCATGGTATGACTGTAACAATATGCTCGACCTTAATCAGCCCATGCTTTGTTACCATCATGAATAGGTTATTCCTGTGGTGAGAGGCAATGAACAGTGTGAAAGCTATGATAAACAAACAGCCAGCAATAAGACATGTGACCATACATTTGCTCATCCGCCATTCAGATGATTGCACCCTACTGCGTCTTCATGGGGAACTCAAAACACTGTAAGCTGCAGAAGATTAACGGAGGAGACCGTGTTCATGACATATTCATAATCTCCACTCCATTTCCAATCTTTTTCTATCCATCCTCCAAAAAAAAAACAGAACAAGCTTTTCTTTTGAAATGTTCTCTCGGAAAGGTTAAATGTGCCTTTAAGCTAGTTACTGTATCTCCATGTCACTTTTCCTGGTTATGGTACTCATCTCTGGCTATGGAAATCTTCTGATCCTTGACATCCATCTGGAATGATTAATATCCACCTCCTGTAAGTCCTGCAAGTGCTTGGCAAATGTCATCCATTGCAGGAAACAAAGCAGACAAGCTTATTAACATGGGACAAATATTAAGCATCTGTAGGGGTGTAAGTGTTCATTCACTGAGCCATTCATGGCAGCTAAGTATAAAAGATGATGGTGTCATTTTCTTAGAAAGAGCTTGGCAGGCTGCCATCTTAGCTTGAGTGTCATTCAATAGCAAGTCAGTTTGTAGACGCTTCTTTTCACGGATTTACTGTATATCGGTTGAATGATAGGAGTCAGGTGTCAATAGCTATTATACTGCTTTCAGGGAAGTGAGAAATTTGCTGTCATTCAGAAAATTGGCAAAGGTTCATGTCCTAGATACAGAGTCTGCAAGAAATCTACAGAATATTACACTAAAAAGACAGATTTGGTTTTACCCCCCAATTTTGAACTATATTAATTCCTGAATCATTAACTGGCTTTTCACTGGATGTTGTTGTACACCTTGATAAATGGGCTTTCTCTGGTGTTTTACGTTTAATGC